TTTAAAAACATGTATCTGATGTATTTGCTTTAAAAATGTACTTCGAAGTAGTGATTCCACATCTAGAGTACATGACCTAAGCCCCACCATGGTTTTGGTTGTGGTAAAAAAAAATATTTCTAGATGTCCGGAAAAAACATTATTTTTATATGGTACAATTTATCATCTTCAATTACATGCATTATGAAGCGTAAACAAATTTCTCATTATATTTTGTATTAGACATTTTTGACAACCATTGAAATCTAATTAATAGGCCTATAAGATGTACCATAAAAATAGAATTAAGGGTCTTCCATTTTACGGGTTTCCTGAGAGTGGGAAGTACCCTGTGGCCCTCCTTTGATCTGCACCTGGTGTGCGTGGTTATCTGCGCGAGTTTTTGACAATTTTGTGAGTGTATTAGTGCAAGTTTGGCACCCGACTGCGTTCATACCCCCACTCCTCGAAACGGATTTACGGCACTGTTGTTTGTGGAAATCTCTTATGTTGTGGGTCTCTGGTCAAATATTTTAAGTATGGCAATAATCTCAGGCTTGTAAAAATCTGTCAAGCTGACAATTGGAGCTAAATTGTATGCAATGTTCATAGTCTGAATAGTGTAAGAAAATGCATGCAAGATTTTAAAGAGCCACTTACTCCAAACTAATAACAATTCTGTCATATGTTATCGTTAACGAGAATTTACAAAACAAAATTAGTATATATAATAGTTTTAATAACAAATTTACCATGACTGTATAATATGATTTAAAAAAATATATCAAATCTCACATATAAAATTATAAGATGAGTTGTCACTCTGAATATTAAAAAAAAAAAAAATAAATAAAAGTTTAAAATTGAATTAACAATGTTAATTTTTTTAGGTAAATGATTTTTGGCTAAAGTTAATAACATTTATGATACTTTTTTTTTCTTAATATTTAGTGTGACAATAAATCTTCAACTAATACTGTATAAAATAATGTAAATGCTTGAATAAGTCCAAGAAACTTTCTTTAACAGTAAATAACTATAAACATACAATTTGAAAAGCTTAAAGTTGGAAAGTTATATTTACTTCTCAATTTTGTTGTATGTACTTAAAATTAACTTATGAGCAAAACTTTACGGCAAATAATAATAAACCCACCAAGTCCTCAATTGCAACAACATGTAGACTGTTTTTATCATCAAAGTATACATAGTAAATATTGAAATACGATCCCCATCCGTATAAATCTTGGCACGGTTATTTATATTGTTTGCAAGTCAGATTCATTTAAGAGCCAAGTTACATTTGTATTACAGTTTCCTAAACATCTATGTGATTCAACAAATTATTAGATTTACTAAAAGAAGAAAAATCAATAACATTCACCAATGCCAATAATCATTACAAACAATAAACTACAGAACTAAAATACAGTAATTATGGTATGGTATACAAAATGTATATGCTGCCTATAAAAGTTATTACTACAACAATACAATAATTCAACTACAATACGAACATAGCTGACTGCACGGTTTGATCATAATGTGCTATTACTGTTGGTGGCCCTGTGGAGTGATTATTGCCTATGATGTACCGAAAGACTGCGAATTTAATATAGCAAAATCCATTGCTTCTTTGAATGCCTCATACTCTTTGTGAACTGTTGGAAGTCTAAGGACTATAGAACATGTGTTGGCTGTTGGATAATTGTCAGCACTGTGCAGGAATGTAATTTCTGGCATCTCAGTGAAACTGGTAATTGGTATACTCGATGCTCCACTCGTAAATACCAAAATATCACGTAATGTGCATTTCGTTTCTCCCTCTGAAAAATATAAAAAAAAAAATTCAAGTGCTAATAAATTTATCCTAAAAATGAACACGAATATTTTTATGCAATGATGTGGAATGAATGCAATTGTCGTTGGCTTTTCAGAAGTACATACATGGTGTGCCATAAACCTTGCTAATTATTTTAAAACCTTGATTTTGTTTTCAATTTTTTTTTATTTCAGTTTAGGTGCATGCATTCAGGGTCCTGGCTATATAATATCAGGTTGAAGACAATCTGTTAAATAAGTGTTTATGATTGTGGAGGATAAAACATTTGTGCATGTAAGCTGAGCATGTTTTTTTCCCCCATTCTATATTAAAAACTAACTATACCTTCAACATCTATAAGATAATCAAAAAACTGTGACAGCACAACTTCTTCAGTGCTTCTTTTATTACTGCCCTTCTCAATGAAGTCCACATGGAATATTGTCTTTAATCTTTCTGATGTCAACTCTGATTCCTCACTGTGAATGAAAGCCTTTCTACAGGCAACAGGGTTTTCTTTTATAGTGTTCAGGACACCTAAAGTTTCAAGCCCAGAAAGTAATCTGAAAAAATATATAATAATGAAAAATACCAAAAGAGGTAAGTGAAAACAAACATGAAATTCTACGAAAATGCAGCAATAAAGTGAAAAATGTTTAGCATATGGTTTTTAAATTATATATGGACACAAAAAAAAAAAAAAAAAAAAAAACAAAACAATAGAATTCAACGAAAAAAGATAAGTGCAAGTAAATGCATTTCCCTTGACAGGATATTATTATACCTAAGTACACTTTGAAAATTAAATAAGTATAACACAAAATAAAAATTTGTTTTAAAAGAAAAAAAGTAAACTTGAAATCACAATTACTGTAAATCTTTTTTTTCCAAGGTAAAAAATGAATTCAAACAAATTTAAGTACAGAATAATTAATTACAATTTTACAAACCTTTCAAAGGCTGATCTAGTTCTGTCTAAAACATAGAACCTCACAGCACTTGAAACTAATTGATTCTTCTTATCAACAGAATTAATGTTGGTGATTTAGCCAGCCAAGCTTAGAAAATCTTCAGCCTCATCTGCTGCTCCTTGTAATTCCTCTAATGAACTGGCTGATTGAATCTAAAAGAAAATAATATTAGAGGTTAAATTGATATTAGAACTACCTGCGGAAGCTAAATTTTCGAGACAGTTTCCTCCCCGGTATATTTTAATTATTCCATTATAACAAGCCTATCTGGCCAATAGAAGAGGAGCTTATACCCCGTTTCCAATATCATAAATCGTATGAGTGCATTTAACTGGTTACCTCTGGGTGGCGCAATTTGATTAAAGCATTGGTTTAAGTTTGACAGTATATTTCTTCTACCAGTAATAGCAAACATGGTTATAGTAGTACAGCGTTTGTGACATTTTAGTATATAAGAGTATGATAGTTTGATTGATGTTTTAATTACCTTTGTGCGTGTTTTTATGTTTGTCTTGACCTTTATAACTTTAGTTTTTGTTGAAATTAAAAATAATTTGAAACAAACCAGAATAAATAATTG